AATCAAGATGCAGGCTTTGGCCAGCACTGCATCTCCTTCTGACGTCTGAGAAGGCTGGCTGCAGTGCCTAAGAGAGCCACATCTCATGGGGAGAGACGGCGCTTGGGATCGAGCCCAGGTCCTCTGCCCTGAGCTACATCCCAGCACTTTGCAAAGTTTTAGTTTGAGACAGGGTCTCACTAAGTCACCGAGTTGCCCAGGCTGGACCTATGACAAGCAGTGTGGGCTTGAGATGAAGAGATAACCACACAAGGCACAGGCACAGCGGTACGCCAGCAGGCCCTCCAGGCACCGCATCCTGCTTCATGCGCTCCAGAAAGCTAGTTTGGGATGCATCGAGGATGGGTGAAAGTTACACACACACACACACACACACACACACACACACACACACTAGAGCGTTTCTTCAGGACCCTGAAGGCACTGATGCATGGAACGGTTCGCAAACAATGAAAAATGGGTAAAATGCATATTGTTGACATTGAGAAGTCAGTTTCTGAGCCGGGCTTAGTGGTGCTTGCCTGTAATCTGCGCAGTCCGGGAGGCTGCAGCAGAGGGATCACAAGTTCAGTCCCAGCCTGGCCAACTTAGTGACTTACGGAGAGCCTGTCTCAAAATTAAAAAACAAACAAACAAAAAACACATTTAAAAAGGTCTGGAGACACAGGTCATTGCGAAGACCCTGGGATCCATCCTCAGCATCGTGATTACTTCAGAAAAGCTCTAAAGAGAGTGAGGAGGATGCAGCCCTGGGCTGCAGGACCAGCTGGCACTTGGTGTCCCTGGAGGTCTCTTACCCAGAAGCTACAGAGGACGCAGGTCAGTGAGAGTGAAGCACTCAGAGCTCGGCGCAGGCTCTTCGCAAAGGAAGGTGCCCAGATACAGAGAGACGCAGATGGATCTCTGCTTACCAGCAAGGGCCCCTGTACACCGGCGCAGCTACGATGAGTGTCAAGTGCTGTCACCCAGATGCGGGTGCCATGGGCCAGCCTGCAGGTGATGCAGCCTCTAGGAAAGCCCAGGGAGGGCCAGCCACATAGCTCAGCAGATTAAAGCGCCTGCTTAGGCGGACACAGGGGCTGGGAGTTCAATCCCTGGGCCCACCATACCGGCCCCACCACGGGGCACGCTGAGAAGGTGATTGAGACTGGGCGTGGTGGCGCGCACCTATAATCCCAGCACTTGGGAGGCTGTGAACAGGAGGATCACTAGGAGTCTGGTCTATGCAGTGAGACCCTGAAGACCCTGTAGAACCTGTCCTAAAATACCAAAAAAGGAAAGCAAAGCCCTGATGCTTCCTAGACACCTGGGCGTCCAGGTCTCCCATGTACTCCCTGATCTCTATCCAAGAGGCAGAAAACATCTGTCCTCAAAAGACCAAACCTCACGACCCCAAGCTGACGACACAGCCGTGATGAGGAAGGTGCTGTGGCAGCCCAGCGGTGGATGGCGTGCTCAGCTTGTGGGCCCACCGGCGTCAGGCCCAGGAAAGGCATCCCTGCCCGGTGGCAGAGTCGGGTGGTGTCAAGTTGCCACTGCAGGGATAGAGTACCAGAGCACCTTCTGGGAGCTGGAGCGTGGGCACCCTGGTGCGGTACTCAAAACAGCAGCAGCTCTGTGCGAAAGGCAGGCCTCACTCTGCAGAGCTGGCCTTGTGCTCCCGGCCACGTTTCCCTTTTCTGGTGTTTGTGGGGATGCGCAATCGTTACGCTGGCTCAGAAAGTTGGCACCTGAGTATGTCCCGGCCTGGCTGTCTCGGTCCCTCTGACCCCCTCTGACCCCCAGCCCTCCTCATTCCTTGTCCGCGTCCACGTCTGCATCGCCGAGATGTATCTCTTCATCTCTCCTTTATCTTCCTCTTTATATTTGGGGTCTCTGTGTCTGACTTAGCTCAGCAGTATTCTGGCCGCCTTGCTCTTTTTGCTGCTGAGCAGTGCTCCGCGGTGTGCGCACCCCACGTTTTCTCTATCCGTTGCTGCTGAGCAGTGCTCCGCGGTGTGCGCACCCCACATTTTCTCTATCCGTTGGTCCACTGAGGGGCATCCAGGCTGTTTCCAGAGCTTAGCTATTCTGAATTGTGGGTATTCACGGACCACTATAGTATGGTGTCTCTAATTCCTTTGGAAATATTCCCAGGAAAGGTATAGCTAGGTCAAATGTGATTTCTGTTTTTAGTTTTCTAAGGACTCTCCGTACTGATACCATAGTGGTGGTTTACCATGTAAGGAGTATTCCTTTCCCTCCAGGTGCACTGGTGCTAGAAGCCCAGCACTCGGGAGGCTGAGGCAGGAGGATCGTTGTGAGTTTGAGATCAGCCTGGTCTACAAAGTGAGCTCAAGGCCAGCCTGAACTGCATTGCTAGCCTGTGTCTCAAAAAGAAGCGTTTCTGTCCCCTCCCACACCCTCACACGCATTTGCTTGTGCGTTCTTGATGATGGCCATTCTGGATGGAGTATCGGGAAAACTCAGAACACCAAACCGAGAGTCTGAAGAGGATGTTAGCAGTGGGAAGACATCCCATGCCTGGGTGAGCAGGACACTGTTGAAAGGGCCATCTATGGATTTAAGAAGCCATCAGCATTCTCCGTGGGACATAGAGAAAAGCATCCTAAAATTCACATGAAAGCAGAAGAGACACAGAATAGCCAAAGCAATCCTGAGCACCAACAGGCAAGTGAACGTCATCACGACCCTGGATTTAAATTATACTATGAAGCTATGGTGACGAAAGAGCATGGTACTGGCCCAAAAAGAGACGTGCAGGCCAGGGAGCAGGGTCAAACTCCAGGTGCCGCTAGTCATCTGATTTTTGACAAAGGGGCCAAAAACACACAGTGGAGAAAGATAGCTTTTTAAGAAATAGTGTTGTTACCCATCTCTGACAAAAGCAAACAAAAAAGGGAGATACAAATGAAGGACCATTTTGTAGTGAAATATCTGTATACACAAAATAGCATAGATATGCAGCTACTTTCTCGTAGTTCAATGTGAAGAAAGTTTTGAACTAATCGTGTTTAGACAAGATATCATGTCTGCCTCTTGTGCTATGAATAACTATGACAAAGACAACAATATGCAATGTATTAATCGTTGTAACTGTCCTACTAACCTGTTTTGAAACTGTCTCGTTGCTACTTCTTTCTCAATAAAATTAATATAAAAAATAGTGCTGGGAAAACTGACTCTCCACATGCAGAAGAGTGGAACTGGACCCTTAACCACCCTGCACCAGAATCAGAGCAGATGAGAGACCCAGATGTGCAAACAGCTTGAACCCCTGGACAGTGACATAGGGGAGCACTTGCACTCCGTAGCATGGGAAATAACGTCAAGAATTAACAATTGGAATCATATCAAATTTAAAAGCCTCTGATTGCTCAGCAAAGGAAACCACCAAGAGTGCAGAGGACCCTCAGAATGGGAAGAATCTGTCAGCTACTCTTCTCTTGCAGGATTAATATCTAGAACTCAAAATATTAACCCCCCCCCCGAAGCAAGTGACCTAATAAAATATATGTATGAGTCAGAACAACGCCAACCATGGCTTAGTAGCAGGACACCCCGGGTGGCACTGTGGGGCAGCAGTTAGGCCCCAGGACAGCCCTTTGCAGATCGGGCGCAGAGGGTGGGCAGGTGTGTGGCTTGGAGGTGGCCCCACCCCCAGCCTTCCCTGGGGCTCCGCATGAGCCATGCCTGCTGGTCCCCAAGTCCCCTGGCCCTGCCCAGTCTCCCCATGGAGGGTCATGGGAGCCCTGGGTGGGTACCACGCACTGGGGCAGAAAGCACTTTCTCAGCATGGGTCTGGAGGGCACCTTGCTTTGATGTGTGTGGGATGTCCCCAGAACCTGGAGCTCCGCCAGGCTCCTCTGGCTTCCATGCTCGTGTCCTCGCCCTCGGATGCATCACCGTGTCACTGCCACGGTCTGAGCCTGGGCCGCCCTGCCTGGGAGGCCTCCTTCTGGACCTGGGGTTTCGATGTCGGGGAGGTGGTAAGGGCTGCCTTTCTACTCCAAAGCCCTGACAGCTGTGTTGCCAGGGGCCTCCTAGTGATGCTGTCACACGGGGCACCCTGGCCCTGTCCTTGCAGACCAGGTAGTTTTCTGGGAACCCTGGAGGCACTCTGTACCTGTGGAAACCATGTTCATCACAGTTGAGCCCTCCTGTCCCCTGGGCTCAGACGTCATGTGACACCCACTACTAAGGACAGCTTGCAGTCGGCAGACCCACAAGCAGGGCCACTACCCACCCCACCACCGTGTTCTGCGCCAGCTGGGTGCTGTCACTCCCATGGGCTCTGCAATCTTCTCCCCTGCCACAGCTCCACAGTGGTGGGGACTTCACCTAGGTGGCCAAGGATGCCACACCTTGGTTCTCTCCGATGCTGCCCTGCTGCCCTTGTGTTAACCTGCCTACTGGGCTAACAGATGCGGACTCCCCACCCCCACCTTCCCTGGGGCTCAGCATGAGCCCTGCCTGCTGGTCTCAGGCTGTGTGCAGGCAGCCTACAAGGACACTTGCCTTGTGGCTCTGGGTCTGCAGTCCATGGGCGTCCACGTATTTGGGGCAGGCCTGGGGGACAGGGGTTGCTCTTCCTGAGGTGACGCCTGCAGGTTCCTTATGCTGCAGTGGCTGCTCTGCTCAGCCCCTGCCTGTGTTCCCTGGTGGCTCCTGACTCACACCCAGAGCTGCCACCACTCTACAGGCCCCACCTTGGTGCCGGGGTAAGGCAGACAATCGAGCTTGTGGGCAGGAGGTTAGGCACAGTAGTGGGGGTCGGCATGGGCACCACCAACAGGCAGAGCACAGGTACAGAGTGCGCCCAGGGTGCACACAGATGCAGACCCACAGATCGCGGTCACGTTGTCACGTTGTTCCCTCCAGCCTGCCCCAGCCTGCCCCACCAGGTCAGCTGCTACCCTGTCCCAGGGCGAGGCACCCACTCTCAGTGGGGCCGGCCCGTCTCCCCAAGTCTCACACACTTTCTGGCTCTTGCTTTCTAGCGGCGATGCTTTCATCTCCAGTTCAAGAAATTACTTTTCACAGTGCCAGGCTTTGCTGAATAAAATTAAGTCCGTGAACCCCCAGACAGAGATCGATGGGCTGCGGAATGTCTGGATTATAAAGCCTGCGGCCAAGTCCCGGGGCCGAGGTGAGTTCCTGGGGTCGGCCTGAGTCACCCTGTGACGGCTGCTGCTTGTGCCCAGGGCGAAGCCAGCCTCTGCATGGCTCTGGGGGAGGGGATGGGGCTGACTACAGTCAGCAGGGTGTGGGCTTGTGGGTGCCTGAGCCCAGGAAGGCGTCCTCAGGCGCTGCCCCACTGTGGCGCAGGACACAGGACCTCTCCTCTGTATGCTTAGGCCATCTGCTCCCCTGCTGCCTTTTTAATGTCACCTGGTGATCTGAGCCACAGGCTCTGGCCCCCTGAAAGGAAGGAGGGAGGCCCCATACCCACACTGCCTCCCCTAGAGGGCCACCCTGGGTGGCCACCTGCTCTGTGGTGCTGCTCCTCGCTGCTCTGCTGGGGTTTCCTTTCCCCTCTTGGAGCTGCCTCTGTGGCTGTGTTCTCGGTTTTCCTGATGGGTATGCATGTGTGTTTACGTAAGACTTCCTGGTGGGTCTGTAACCTGCTCCCCCACCGACTTCCGGCTGCTGTCCCGGCTTCTCTTGGGCCCATCCTCCGCCCATGACGCGAGTCCATTTTCCTCCAGTCTTCGTGCAGTAGCAAAGCCTCTGAGGCTGCGACGGTAGCCACCTGGCCTCCCTGGCACCGCACAGGGCTCTTGTGCCTGGCCGTCTGTGTGGACGTCGCTGTCAGGTCAGACATTCTATCTGCCTCACACGCTGCTTTGAAGAGCTTTCTTGGAGTCGCAAGCGGTCTTAAAATCTTCACTGACACGGCTTCGTTGCATTTGGCCCTAAAGGCCATCTTCAGCCTTGAAGCACTGCAGCCAGGCCTTGGGCTCATGTGGCCATGCTCCTGATGTGCTGTTCAGGGTTCCTCCCACCCCATGAGCACCCCTGCCTGACTTTGTGTGTGTGTGTGCGTGCATGCACACATGCATGAGAGTGCATACAAGTGTGTGTATACATGTATGTGTTGCACATGTGTTGCATCTCCGCGTGCTCTTCCTGAGCCCACCCCCTGCCCAGGGAGCCTCTCTCTCCTCCTGCTTGTCTGGCCAGTCCTTAGTTCCACAGTGGACGCTTAGAGCCAGCGGCCTGCTCTCCGCTAGCGGCTCATTGCTATGTGCTTAGCAAGATTCTGACTCCCTGTAAGAAACAGAAGTGTTGTGGTTTGTGAAAGCTCACCTGAGCCTTTGGGATCTGTGGTCAGAGCTCCCTCCACTTTGTGTCAGTCAGGACAGGCTAGATGGTGCTGTGTAACAAACAGCCCCAAAAGCCCGACAACACTCAGTGAAACAGTTTCCCTCTGGGTTGTGCTTGTCACCCACTGCAGGCCCCTTCTTATGGCCCCTCCCTTGAGGCTTCAGCATGTCACAGCAGAGAAAGGTGACCAGAGGGCCTGCCATGGCATTACAGGCTGCAGCATGCAGTGACACTTGTCCCATACTCCTGGTCATTGGAGTCACATGTCCTGCTGGGGATGAGGGGGGACTGGAGGGCCTGTGCATTGGCAGAGGGAGCCCCAGGGGATGTGAGTGCTACCACCTACCTGGTACCCCCCCTTTGTCCGTCACTCTTAGCGTCCCCCCAGATTCCCCTGGGGGCCCCACCGCCTGATGTGTCCTGCCCATCCCAGGTCTCGGGCCTCTTGGGATAGCACTGGCCCTGTGCTGGGAGAGCTCAGCAGCAGGCTGCGCTGGCCTCGTCTACCGGTTCGGTGCTGCCTGGCCCGTGCTGCCTCTGCTCTGACCCGCGGCCGGGGGGCGGGGCTGCATGATGCTGGCTGAGAGGCCCCTCCTTGCAGACATAGTGTGCATGGACCATGTGGAGGACATCCTGAAGCTGGTGGCTGCTGACCACCCACCCTCCCGGGACAACAGGTGGGTGGTGCAGAAGTACGTTGAGACACCGCTGCTGATCTACGACACCAAGTTCGACGTCAGGCAGTGGTTCCTGGTCACTGACTGGAATCCCCTGACCATCTGGTTCTACAAGGAGAGCTACCTGCGCTTCTCCACACAGCGCTTCTCCCTGGACAGCCTGGACAGGTTGGTGGGCACCAGGCCTGGGCTTTTGGGCCCTGGCATGATCAGACACACCCAGGGTAGGGTGCCAGGTGGGGGAACCCCATCACTAGGCAGGTCCCAGCATGGCAGGAGCCAGCTGTGACCTGCAGAGTCTGGCTGTCCACACAGCAGAGGCTGCCCACAGCCTGCCCACCCAGCTTTCTTCGGGATTTTGTGACTGTCACTCAGAAGGCGAGGTGGGGCTGGATGTCTAGGAGAATTTTCCAGGGGTCATCGAGAGCAGGGGCTGAAATTTTGCTGGGGTGAACTGTGTTCCCACTTGGGGAGGCCGTCTGGGGTCTCATGCCCCTCAGGTGACACTGTGAGGCTGCACCCTGAGGTCTTGCCTGGGCTGGGCCAGGAGGGGCCCACATCAACATTTCTGCCTTTGGACAGGGCTCTCTGTGCAGAAGGGGCCTAGGGACCCCAGCCCTACCCCTGGGCCCCTCCCTGGCCCGTGACTGCCTGCCAGAGGCCTGCTTCTCTGTCTGCTCCCCGGGCAAGTCCCCGACCTGCCTGTGAGCAGGCGGAGGCAGGAGCGAGAACCATGGCGAGGCACAGTGCGGCGCTCCTGCCACTGGCTCCAACTTCCAGGCGCCCATCAAGCTGGTTGAGACTTTCCTGTTTTCTGAGCCCATCTACTTTGCAGCCCTGTACTTGCCTGACCGTCGGCCATTCACATGAAAATATCTTGGCCTCAAAATGTAGTGTTTGTGATCTCCTAAAAGTTACCACTGGGGCCGGGGAGATGGCTCAGTGGAATAAGCGCTTCCTTGGCAAGCGCAAGGGCCTGAGTTCAATCCCCGGTTGGTTCTGGGGAAAAAAAAAAAAAAAGATACCATTTGTTTTAAATCTATTCAGAACAAGACAAGAATATAAATAAATTAAGTGGAAATTCCCATGAGGTGACTGTCACCTCACCTCTCCGGAGCAGCCCTTTGGGGGTTGGTGTCCCTCTGGCATGAGCAAGTTGGGATGCCGAGGTGGGGAAGTCACCCTGCTGGTGCCCATGGGTGGCACTGGACAGGTGGGCTCCCTCCACCCTGTACCATTCTCAGGGTCAAAGCTCCGGCTTCTGCCACTGCTGGCCCAAGCATGGTGCCCGCAGGGACGGAGGCAGTGGCACTGCCAGCCTCACAGGCGCCCTGCCCACAGCGCCACCCACCTGTGCAACAATGCCATCCAGAAGCACCTACAGAACGACCAGGGACGCAGCCCACTGCTACCAGGCCACAACATGTGGAGCAGTACACAGTTCCAGGAGTACCTGCAGGGCCGGGGCAGAGGGGCCGTGTGGGCCAGCCTCATCTACCCATCCATGAAGAGGGCTGTCACTCACACCATGAAGGTGGCCCAGGCTCACGTGGAGCCACGCAGGAACAGCTTCGAGCTCTATGGCGCCGACTTCATCCTGGGCCGAGACTTTAGGCCATGGCTGATTGAGATCAACTCTAGCCCCACCATGCACCCGTCCACACCTGTCACGGCCCAGCTGTGCGCCCAGGTGCAGGAGGACACCATCAAGGTGGTGGTGGACCGCAAGTTTGATCGCAACTGCGATGTTGGCAACTTTGAGCTTCTGTGGCGGCAGGTGAGCAGGGCGGCTGCAAGCTTTGCATCCCCATGTGGGTTGGTGGCCCCGTGCTACAGACAGTTCTGCCCCATACCTGGGAGCTGGATGGGCTGCAAGCCACTTGCCCTTCTGGGACCTTGGCCTCAGATCTTGTCCTTGGTTCTGACCAGGCTTGGGCACCTGCAGGCCCGGGTTGTCCTCGCTGCCTGTCTGAGCTCCCTCATGCGCGCTGAGTGAAAGGCTCGCTGCTGGATACCGGGGGTCTGCGCGCTCTCCTCACCCAGGCCCTGGGCCCCGGTGCAAGTGTGGTGTTCCTTCCCTGACGGGTGGTGGCTCCCAGAACATTCCCCTCTGAATTTTCCAGCTTGCCAGGCACAGGGTGGTGAGGTCTTGCCTTGGGACTCCTGCCCGGGAACCCAGCCCTGTGCCCAGAGAACCTGGGAACCTGGGAACCCCTGTGCTGGATTTGTTACCGATTTCCAAGCCCCATCTGGTCTTTTTCCCTCTCAGAATTGTGGGACTTGGAGTTAAACTTACAAAACAGCTTCTGAGGTGAACAGGAATTGGGTGGTCCCTGAGGCAGGGTGAAGACAGGAGGGAGGGGTTAGGTCAAGCTGAGAGGAACACTCACATCTGAAAACGGCCTGCAGGTTTCCCAGGAATTAATTCAGGGGCCGCCTCTTTTCGCTCTCCTGTGGCACTCTTATGGCTTCTTCCCGGCAACAGTCAGCTGGCATGGTGCTTGGCTTGGCTTTAGCCTGCAGGAGGCTTAGAAGGGGTGGAGGGTGTTGGGGTCACATAGCCCTGCTGGCAGGCCTGGCCAGTTTGTACCTGAAGAGGGACCTCTGGCCTCAAAACAACGTCTGTGGTCTCCCTGAGCTGCATCCTCCCTCCCAGCCCGCCGTGGAACTGCCGCCTTTCAGCGTGTCCGACCTCTGTGTGGAAGGTGTTGGCCTGAGAAGGAACAAGAGGCAGATGCCACCCATTCCCACCGTTAACATCTCAGCGTCGCTCCCAGAGGCTCAGATTCTTAAAGTGCCGCGCCGCTCAGCCACACTGGACAGGGCAGGCAGACCCCCTCGTGCCCCCATGCCGCGGGAGAGGACCCTGGGAGACAAGAAGGTGCCTGTGCCCCCATGGCCTGCCACAGCTGAAAGGAGCTGCGAGGTGAGGCCAGGCCACACTGAGCCCCACAGGAGGCCATCACACCCCACCTGCAGCTGGCAGCCCATGGACTCTGTGGGCCTGAAGAGAATCCTGCCCAACACCCAGCCCACCCGACCCTTGGACCTGGACCTGCCCAGAGCACAGCCCCTGGTGCCCATGCAGCGGAGGACAGTGGCTGGTGCACCGAGTGGGCTGCCCTCAGCACCAGGTAACCCTGTGGAGCAGCGTCACCCTTGCCCTTGTGTTGGGTGGGGAGGGCGGCTGGCTGCCTCCTCAGGTGGGCACAGGGAAAGCTGGGCTGCGAGGGTCTGTGTGTGTGTAGCCAAAGAGCCGCAAAGTGGGGTCCTGGCCGGCGATTCCCTCTGTAGGACGAGGGCCTGTGGTCTTGCTAGTGCTGAGGGTGTGGGGCGGGGAGCCACAGCATCTGCCCAGCACTGTGAGCGGGCAGGCTGGATGCCCGTCTGGGTTCCAACAAGCTCTGGTGGGGCTGACCACCGGGGTGCAGGCAGGCGTGCTGGGCTCTGTCGGCCCCAGGCTTCGGTGGAACCCGGGAAGGGTGCAGCCCAGAAAGGACAGTGCCAAAAAGAAAACCGTGTGTTCGTTCTTTGTAGTTTCTTCCCTTGCATGCACTTCTATACTGGATTGGGAGTTTCATGGCTTATGTTTCTTCTGATGATCTGGTCATTCATTCTGAGAGGTGAGGTCTTTGGCCCTGTGGTGTCTGCTGTTTCATATTTTATTACAAACTGCTCATTTGTGAAACATTAAAACAGGGCCCTGTAGTCCCTCCTAGCTGAGAAAGGAGGTTGGCCACCTCCAAGCCCTCAGGCTGGTGCTCAGAAAACCTGCTGCCCCGGGGCTGCCCGCGTCCACTTCCTACCTCTAGGATTTTGCCCCCTGAACTCAGCAGGAAGGAGCGGCAGGGTGTGCACAGTGGGTGTAGCCCCCTGGAGGACTGTGTACCGAGGTTGGTGGCCTCCCCAGCGGGCGCTCCCTTCCCTCACACCCAGGATGCCCGCAGACACCCGGCCTTGCCTTGAGTTGTCATCAGCTGAGCTGCCGCTGTTCATGTCTCTGCCCACACCCGCCCAGACGCACTGGAGCCGCCCTCCCCAAGGGCTTCGTGCTCCCGCCTGTGCTCGGCACACAGCCTCCCTATGTCTCTAACTCAGCAAGACCCGGGACTAGCCTCCCCTTCGGCCCTGACCCCTGACCCGGTGCAGAGGGACACTTTCTGGCCACTGTGCATGGGTGCATGGGTGGACAGGGCCCCTGACTCGCCCTTGGGCCTGTCACCTGGGCAGTGGTGGCTTCAGGCAGCACCGGAGCCGGTGTGGAGCAGGACCTCCGCCCAGTGTCTCCCAGCTGCTGTGTGCCTCCATGGGGAGGGGGCCTAGGGACGCTGAGTCCGGGGTGAAGGGAGTACTGGGACCACTAGACACGTGGGGAGAGGATGTCAGGGACGGTGAGTGGGGGACCCCACCCCGCCCACGTCGTCTGTATCTGCAGCGTCTTCCTGCCTTGGCCTTCCAGCTTTGGTTGCTCCGTTTGGCAGAGCGCCTTCTCACTCCGCACCCGGGACGGTCGAGGCCTATAAATGAGAGGCAGACAGAGGGGCACGGGGTAGGGGTACTCCTTAGTTCCCACGCCTTCTCCTGGAACAGTGGCCACCCCCAGGCTTGAGTTTGCAGAGGTGGGCAGGCAAAAGAAAGGTGGGTGGGCTGGCGTCCAGGGGACCTTTGGGCTGTGCCTTGGCGGGCGCGGTCATAGATGGGCGTGGTCTTCTGCTTTGTGGGCGTGGCTTGTGGTTGAACAGGCTAAGGGCAGAGGTGTGATCTCCACTGCAGTGGGCGAGGCTCGTGTTTTAGGGCATCTTGCGTGGGCGTGGCCAGCGGCGTCGGGGGTGTGTCACAGGAACCGGTGGGAGTGATGGAGTGGGGTGGGAAGGGTAGGGTAGACCGCCCGTGGGGCCTGGTGGGTGTGGTCTCCAGGCCAAGATCTGGGGCACCCGCGCTGTCTCAGATGCCCTTGTGTCTGAGCACCCTCTTTCTGCAGGCCCCCAGAGAGACCGCACCCAGTGCCTCCTGTGTCACTGTTCACCTGCAAGCGTGAGGCCCTGCAAGCGCTGCGGCTCGTTCTCTGTCGCCATCCTGCAAGGCTCCTGCTTCGTGCCGCTCGAGACTCCAGGACAAGGGCTGTGACGGACTGCAGGGAGCCCGTGGCCCTCAGCAGCTGCTCGTGGACGCAGGCCGTGTACCCAGAGCTATTTTAGAGAAATTGTGCAGTCCCCTCCGCCTGGTGTTCGTAGGACATGCGTCCCACTCCCCGCCTGGCTCTGGCCCAGCTCTGCCCATGTTCTTGTCTTTGTCCCTGGTCCCCGTCCCTGTCCCCATCCCGGACATCCCAGGACAAACCCCTCCTCACTAGTGGCCGCCCTGGCCCCAGCCCCAGCGGTCCTCACAGGACCTTGGCCCTTCTGTACACTCACACGTTCAGCAAGTCTGACTGTATTGACCCTGGCCCTTATACCTGGGTGGGGGGCAAGGGGGCACCGCCAGGTGGAGTCTTCAGATCCATGACTGTGGTGGTCAGTGGGCCAGGCAGGCAGGCAAGGTCCACCTGGAGACATGGGTGTGGGAGAGTCCTAGGCCTCTCTGGCCCTTGGTGCCTGGGGGGGGGCCCTGGCCCTGGACAGGGCATTCTCGGGGTGACCAGGAGCAGCTCTCTCAGCCCTAGGGGGGCTATGGCGTGTGGAATGTGTCCCTGGGAGTTCATTGTGGACACTGGTCCTGAAGGCAGGTGTGGAGGGTGGGACTTCATGGGGCCTGTGGTGGGTGGATCCTTTCTTGTCGCTGCGCATCTGGGGTGATCCCTGCATCTTCAGTGTGGCTATGTGACACCAGTCCTGACACAGCTCAGAGGCTACCAGGAGCTCAGGCACTGGCCGGCCGGCCAGCCTCCTGAACCTCGTGCAAAATAAATCTCTGTTCTTTGTAAGCTTCCTAGTCTGCCTGTTTTGTGATAGCAACATAAGCACAGCTAGACAGGGCCACATCCCAAGCCCAGGGACACGGCCCTCCATATGGCCACCCCAGGTGGGGATGGATGGCACTGGCAGGTGCTTGTCTGAGCCGCACGAGGAAGGGCCTCTGGGCCCTGCTTCCTGGGCTCTCCTTCCGGGTGCTTGCTGGGAGCCGTCAGGAGCTCCTGTCATGACCCTGGGTCCCTACAGAGCCAGTGCAGAATCCTGTCTTAGGGCTGGCCAGAGGCTGGCACTGGGTTTTGCCTCCTGAGATGCTATAGTCTGGTGCCCATTTGCTGGCCACTCGGGGGGACCCAGGGCTCAGCAGTGACCAGAAACCTAGTCCAGCCCTGTAGAGGAGGGGCTGGGTGGGAGGAGGCTGTGCCTTGGTGGGCGTGGCCATAGGTGGGCGTGGCCACAGGTGCTTTGTGGGTGTGGCTTGTAGTTGAGCAGGCTAGGGGCAGAGGTGTGATCTCCACTGCAGGGGCGCAGCTCTGTTTGAGGACACCAAGGCACAGCGACAGCTGTGGCCCTCAGGCTGCCAGTAGAGTGGGGTCCCTGGGGTGCGTGATGTTGACTGCTGCACTGGTCTCGTTCCCTGCTTCCATTGCACAGAGCTGAGAGCCGCCAGTCCAGTTCCTGGGTTCCCTCTGCCTCAACCAGAACCCACGGTCTTGCCTATTGGAGGGGGGCACTGTTCTCCACAGGGAGGGCAGGGGTGCCCGTCACACCCCTCTAGGCCCTTACCTCTCCGCATCCCCCACAGGGCATGGTGGTCTCCCTTGGCAGAGGTGGCTGCAGGAAGTGCTGACTGCCCACCATGACAGATGCTGATGCAGGACTCAGGGCAGCCACCCCTGGACCTACTCCGTCCAGGGTGGGACAGACTTGACTCATTTTCCTGTCTTCCTGCCTGGCCCGCCCACAGAAAGTGGCAGTCTCTGTCTAGAGCATCTCCCCCGGCCACCCCCAGCACCCAAGCTTTCTGGGCCAGGGGTTGGTGAGGGTCTCCTCTCTTCCAGTAGCAGAATGGCAGCTGTTCCTTGTCGCCATGTGTCTTGGGGTGGACCACGGGCTCAAGTTCATGGAAGCCATTAAGCAGCTCACTGGAAGGCTGAAGGCCAGGATCACCCGGCATGGGCCCATGGGGAACCTTCGCCAAGCTCTTTGATCTGCCCCCAAGGGCGTTCCTTCACTGTGTGACAAGGACAGGTAGGGGCTGTGTTGCTGTCATCTCTAGACTCTGTGAATCCATCCTGGCCTGAGCCACCCTTCCTTCCACTGACCTGCCAGGATGCTGGGGTACAGCTTCCTCTGTCCTGTGAACCCCATCACCTGACTCCTCTCAAGGAGAACAGAGATCAGGCACTGTGGGGTGGGGGCTCCAGGGTGGACATGGGGTCCAGCTGGGCCAGTTAGAATAAGGCAGGGTCTGGGGGCAAGGACCCCAGAGCCACAGTGACTAGACATGAGGCCAGGCCGTAGACAGCAGTGCAGCCCTCGCCAGGCCAAGGCCCAAGACCCAACACTCGTCATGACCCTGGTGGGGGTGTGTGAGGTGCTGAGGGGTTCAGACCTCTCCCAAAACAGTGGGGAACCTTGGGACTTGTGGAGAGGAGGGTTCCCACAGTGAGTTGAGGTCATCTGGGGTCAGTGTCACGTGGTGTAACAACATCCTCTTCCAAGGGTCCCCATAAAGAACTGGGGTCCCCACAGGGTGAGGCACCTGTGCCATGCAAGGGACTGAAGAGGCAGGCTTAGGGTGCTGGATCAGGCTGGGGGTGGGTTGCTGGGGCTCTGTGTCGCCACAGAAACCCTGTGCTGATAGCACGGTCTTCTAGCCCAGGCCCAAGGGGTGGGAGGTGAGGATCAGGCCCAAGCTCTGCTCCTGACTCCTGGCCACACAAGGGCGCCCAGCCCATGGCCAGAGCCCCATCTGGGCTGAGAGGTACACTGGAGGGGGTGTCCTTCTGACTTCACCCTTGCCTTGCTGTCCCATAGGGGCTGGAAACGTGCCTGTGTTCCTGGGCTCCCCGCCATCCTGCTGAGACAGAGGCACGCACTGGAGGATGCGTGAGTGCTGCCCCCAAGTGGTGGTAGCATCGGGGCCAGACTGAGCAGATCAGATGCTCAGGGCTCCGAGAGCATAGCCAGGGCCCCCAGCCCATCCCATTGCTGGGCCCTGACCCTGCCCTGCCCTCCCCCCTGCACACACATCTGCCCGGAAGGAGAGTGCTGAGGAGCCTGCACCCCAGCTTGGGGACAGACTCAGGAATGCAGGGTCACCTGCTGGAGCAGGGTTCAGTCCAACCTGCACTGTCTCAGGTCAAGGCCTAGGATGTCCCCTCCTCACTCACTTATCAGACATGGGCTGAGCTCCCACCGGGCAGAGCAGAGGCCCTGCCGCTGGGGCCTGATGGGCGTCCTCCTGGGCCTTGGTCTCTGCCAGGGCACACCATCGGCAGAGATGCTGAGTGAGTAAGTGATGCCAGCTGGTAGGAAGCTGGGCCCAGGACAGACCCCGGGAGACAGGCGGGAGGATCTTGGGGCCTTGGAGCTGTTCTGACAGAAGGGGAGGCAGGCGGGGCCAGTGTCCTGGGTGCAGGTGTGGAGAAAGGGCCAGGGGCCACTATGCGGAAGCAGCAGCTTGGGACTGGTCCTGCTCTGGAGCATGGAGGTGGCAAACTCACTGCTCTGGCTTGGCTGAGTCCCCACACCCTCAACTTCCAGGACAGACACAGTCCCTGCCCAGAGGAGCTGAGCGGGTACAAGCATTAAAAACAAGTGCATTGGTTAGGCACAGTGGTGCACACCCGTGACCCCAGCACTCTGAGAGGCTGAGACACAAACTACACAAAAAAGTTGGGGCTGGGGAGATGGCTCAGTAGAATAAGCATTTGCCTGGCAAGCACAAGGGCCTGAGTTCAATCCCCAGTTCCAAAAAAAAAAAAAAAAAAGTCAACTACAGAGCCAGCCAAATAGCTCAGTGGATTAAAGCACCTGCTTAGGCAGGCACAGAGGCCGGGGTTTGATCCCTGGTGTGCCATGCTGGCCCTGCCCCGCAGTTCACTGAGCTGGTGATTGAGACTGGGCATGGTGGCGCATGCCTGTAATCCCAGCTCTTGGGAGGCTGAAAACAGGAGACCCACTAAGAGTCCGATCTGTGTAATGAAACCCTATAGATCCTTACTTTTTTTTTTTTCTTGTATTTTAGGGAAGGGTCTACAGGGTGTTCAGGGTCTCACTACTAGTTTGGACTCTTAGCGATCCATCTGTTTACAGCCTCCCAAGAGCTGGGATTACAGGCTTGCACCACCGCGCCTAGTCTCAATTGCCATCTCAGCGCGCCCGGGGCAGGGCCGGCATGGCAGGGCTGGGGATCAAACTCCTGGCCCCTGTGCCTGCTTGCAGGCACTTTAATCTGCTGAGCTATTTGACCAGTCTTCCTATAGACCCTTACTAAAAAAATAAAAAATAAAAAAAGTCAGCCGCATAAGGGCCAGCCAGGTAGCTCAGTGGACTGAGGTGCCTGCGTAGGCAGCACATAGTGGCCAGGGTTCCATCTCCAGTGCACCCCGCCAGCCCCGCCCTGGGTGTGCTGATGTGCTGAGATGAAATTGAGACTGGCCGTGGTGGCACGTGCCTGAATCCCAGCGCTTGGGAGGCTGAAAACAGGAGGATCACTGAGTCCAATCTGTGTAGTGAGACCCTGTAGACGCTGTATACCCTGTACTAAATACATAAAAAAAAAAAGTCAACTGCATATCTACACATTAGCCATGAGGGAGCCAAAAATGACATTGAGAACTCAGTTCTGTTGACAATAGCATCAAAAATAATAAAATACTTACCAAAAATTTTAACAAAAGTAATTGAAGACTAACACACTAGGGCCAGGGAGGTAGCTCAGCAGCATAAGTGCCTGCTTGGCAAGCGCAAGGCCCAGAGTTCGATCCCTGGTAATGACTAACACACTGACAACTATGTAGCACTTCCAAGAGATGTTAAAATGCTAAATGAGAAATGCCAGATGTTCATGGATTGGAAGACTTGGTTCCATTATGAGGGGAGTGGTCACATCCCTCGAAATTTGGAAAGCCTTCTTTTTTGTAGACATCAGCAATCTGGTTATAAAATTGATATGACATGTAAAGGATCCAGGGCAGTCAAAACAATTTC